ACGGCCCAGACGTTTAATTAAGGCAAGACTAGCAAGCAATTATACGAGCTAACCATACGATTGAGCACCATGAAAATAATAAATAATATGTTTTGATTTTTTCATGAGTTTGAACGAAAAATATATGGTAATCGACAAAAAATTAATTTTTTTTAGATATAATTGTTTCTGTGTAGGTCACATGGTATTTAAGATGTGTTTAATTTTATAATTATTATATGCCAGTGTCTATATTTTTGGAAAAGAATTTGAACAAATGGCGTAAACATTTAAGCAGTAGATGCTTTTTTCATTTATTTACATTCTCTATATCTACTGTGTAAGATTGATAGGTATCTATTTTATAATATATATTTAGTCTGAATCAATTAATTTTTAATACTATTACGAAAATAATGTTCAAAGTTTCCTTAGAAAAATCTGATAATATATAGATCTTTTGGAAGGGATTCATATTTAGGAAGTCAGCAGCAAATATTTTATGTTAAGAGATATGATAATTTAATTATGACTATAATATGTAATGTGCTATTATAATCTTATGATAATGTGTAATTTTATTACAAGCATGTATAATAAGCAGATTTAGCATAGATCTGTAGGTATAAATGAAAATAATTTATAAATATGCGAATAAAGTATATATATTTAATTTAAAAATTTCAGATAGGCTGTTTAGGTATATATTCGAGATTAATTACGTAAGTTGTGTACATTTGACATTAAATGTCAAATTTGTTACTGGTTACTTTTCGTTGGTAAAATGATCGATTCAAATTGATAGCAGCCATTACTGCTGAAGAAAAAAGAAAAAGTGTATCTATTGTGATTTTTTAAGCATGTAATCACACTTTATAACATGTTAGTGTATGAATGAAATACCTTACGGAGATTGATGAATTCTTTTCGAATGTTTTGTATTCTTGTTAGTATAATGCCTAGACGTATTACAATTAGTAAACAATGAAACAATACAAATTACGTACATACTTAATATTATTTATAAGAGTGTAATTTAAGTAGGTATTTAGGTCTTGTAGACGACAAGTTTATTTAACTGTAATAACTTTGAATCTGTAATATTCCCAAATAAGTTCCTTTTTTAACAGTGAATACATTATATTTATCTAACTTATGTTCATTTTAGTGATTATAAGTTAGACTAGGCACATACATACTTAAAACCAGTTACACCAGTTTTTTTATACTAAAAATTTCAAATCACGAAGAAAAACAAAAGACATTCTGTACATAGTTTCTACAATAACTATTATATTTGTCCTCATTTATCGTGACAGCGTGCATTATTAGACATATCAATGAATGCAATTACTTATTAGTATTACATGAGTTATTCAATTCAGTATACTTCAATATATTGTAATATGTTAAGTTTATTTTATCAAATGATGCCGCGAAACATGACGCATAAACTCTACATATAGGTACATGTCTGGCACTGTATAAATAAACATAATATATTAAACGTAACTAATTCTATATAATTTTTAATCTCCATTGCCTGGGCCCATCTATGCACCTACATTAAAGTACCATACGTTTATTAGAATCATCAATATTCTATTTAATTCGTCTAAAGTTTATTTTATAAGATAAATCTAACACATATCCATCACAATAACTTTAGAATATCAGTTTGTTTTTCGTTCAGGTTATTTTATATGCAAGGATGTTTATTTCAACATAATTTCACTAACTTACATCTAGTATTTTATAATTTTATTATTAAAATAGATTTTTGACTCATTTATTGATAAAATATTTAAGAATTATAACACATAAGCGTTATTGAAGAAATCAAGTAAAGAGGTACTTAAAAGCATGCTTCATGTGTATTAGGCATACTTATTATAAGCTACGATAAAGTTTTATTTATAATAGGGTCGATTAACATATTCTGAGGTGTAACTGTGATTTTTTATTAAAAGTTTTGACTAGAATTCATATACACAGTGCCTATACGATGAATAGAATACAATTTAACAGCAGATACTTTTTATAAAATATTTTTAATATGATATGAAGTAATACAGCAAGCAAACAGTGAGGCAAATCAAATGATTAATTTGGAATTGATATGAAATATATGTATAAATAAAATATATTCTATATTTATGCTATTATTACAATATAGGTATGCACTTTAAAGAGGTACAATAATGTTATTTAATGAAATATACGTTGACTATAATCGTAGAGTATAGATCGGCAGTAATTTACATAAATAATTACAAAAATATAATTAAGAATATCCAAAATCTTAAATTATATAGATAGAGCATCAAGTATAAAAAACAGGCAACTTTTAGTCAGACAAATGTCAAATTGATTGACACATGCTTTTTTAAATCAAAGCAAACGCAAATCGTTGTTTTAGAACAAACGCAATTTTTTCAGTGTTGCAAGTAATTAGATTAAAAATTTCCGATATCAAGTCTATTTTAAAATTACAATTGGGAATTATTATGTTATATAAATATATACAAATGTACGTATTGTTTACAAAAATAATATACAGGGATTAATCAAAATGGCAGCTATTTTTAATTAGTGAAACACTAAAACATATTTTATGTCTATACTCTATAAATCAAAGTATTTAGTAAAGATAAGCGTCATTACGAATCATTATTGATTGTTTATTTGATTTTTTTCAAATATATTGTAAGAATTTGGTATCGCTTTTATTTTTTAATTTAACCATACAATATATTTTTTCCATATATACTTAATAATAAATGTAACCATATTCATGCAACACAGATGAAAATGTTGACCTACTTTTAGCGAAGCATTTGTATGGAGACATTCTATCTATATAATCTAAGTTCATAATAAAAGGTAGTAAATTCGAACGTAACTAATAAATTTCTTGACAATGATGATAATAGATATTAATCTATTTAATTCAATTCGTTGAAAATTTATAAATTTAAATATTTTGTGTAAAATGGAGAGGATATTGTGTAATCGTAACAATCTGTTACATCATTTTTCCGTTACAACAATATTGAAATCAATATTATTATAAATTTAAGAAAGATATTTCTTTCAATTGATGATTATGACAGTTTGTATAAGTATATACTTTTTCTTTTTAAATTAATATCATGTTTGCGAAACAGAGATCTTACAAATACTAATTTAACAATTAGCTATATACTTTTATTTACATTACATTATATTTTTTAAATATAAGACCAGCATAGAATATATATTAATATTTAGGTAATATTAGGCCAAATGAACAATTTATATAAGCACATTTTTTGGATATAATAACGAGTATATACATGTCACGAATGAAATTACTAAAATTTTAGAATACTAAAAATAGATACTAAAAGCCAGCTGTTGGGATTTGTCATTAATTACAAAAGAGCGAGGAAACAAAATCTTAACACAGAAAGTTCAGTACATACATAAATACTTATTTACTAAAATAAAGTATAGAACTTTTACCAAAAGATACAATTTATTAAAACATCTATAAATCTACGTATTTATTTGATTTGTTTTATGTATCTAACACAATATTACATTTTTAGTTAAATCGCTCTGTTATAATACAATTAAAATAAAGACTGAATTTACAATCAATTACAAATATAATAAAATTTTAAACGGACTTGATAAACATCCCGTTCCTAATAACTTTTATCTCTATTACGCAAACAGAACATCCTAAAGTTCTAAATTCCCAATAGTAAGGGTTTTGGTAATGTTAACAGCGAACAACTACATCGATCTGTCTTTTTACAATATTTACAACAATTAAATCGTGGAATGCTCTATTATTTTTTTATAATTTCCAACTACTTAGTTCTACAATCAGTATACTAAATTTTGATTTTGAAATCGTTTGAGACACTCGTATGTTTTACGTACGTAATATGTGTTTCTTTTAATTATTACATTGCTTACGCGAATATATTGCCCAAAAATAAAATAATATTCTGATTTTAATGATGATAAATTTTGTGTGCGGTGATGAAATACACATCGTCATTATCTCTTTTATCTCTAGAAAGTCGTAACAGGCGATTACGGGATTAAAGCACAATACTCCAGCGTAAGAGAAGGAGATCTCTAAATAAAACTTTATATATTATATATAATAATGGCTTATTATATATATAAAGTTTTACCTGGCTAACGTGATAGTAATAGGTTTTATCAGGGTCGCCAGATGCTAATTTTGATTTTTATCCACTTGTTTAATGTTTTTCTCCAAATTGATACGATTTCCTTCACTTTTACTCAATCAAAAACTGACAAAAAAATTATCTATCTTTCTTCAAGCCTATTTTACTTTTCTCCAAACATTACTCCAAAAATTTTATTTCTTTAAAATTTTGGGAATTGAATTATTGAATATTTCACTCAAAAATTGCGAAAAACAAATACCCAATCTGGCAACATTAGTTTATATCCTCTTATTGGAGACCTATGCTCAGCAGTAGGACATCAATGGGTTTTTTTAGATAATGATAAGTATAGACAGGTCATGAGAATAAACTGTAATTTTCTAGTATCAAGTTTGCTTTTAATTAATTTTTCACATGTCTGATTTTTTTGTAATGTGACTAATCTATAAATAAATGAGAATAACCGAGTTTTATTTTATGGTATATTAAGGAAAGTTAAAACATATTCTATTATTATAAGTTAATGAAAAGAAATCCTAAAATTACATGTATCTACAAACGCTGCTGTATTAAAACAACTTTCACGAAGTTAGATCACGTGCGTTAATTTTATGTGTCACACGTGAAACTAGTTTTATAATGTATCTAAATTAGGCTTAAGAGCGTTGATGCTTTACATTAACTAAATGTGGTAACATTTCATTTATAGGTCAATGTTCAAAAATAATTTAACAATTTTCAATATTACTAACTGATATTTAAAAAGCGCTCTGTTAGCGAATTAAAATGTTAGTCTTGAAATATTATTTTTAATAAGCTGTCACGAAAAAGTTTTTTGTGTTAGATTTATATGCTACGTATTCTGTGAAACGTTTTAGTTCGCTAGTACTATTTGAATAAACAACAAACATTAAAAAATATTTATTTATTTAATAATCAAAATTACGTAGTTACCACTACAAAAATCGCCAAACTGCTTAATATTTTATTGGCGAAACGTGAATTGTTTTTGAAAATTGACAGATAATTATGATGTTGCTTCACATCGGGAAGTTAAAGTATGAACGCTTTAAGAATGGTTGGCAATAACATGGTAGACAGCGCTTAAAAGAGTTTAAAAAAAAACTCTCTAGGCGCTGTGTACCGTGACATTAATTAACTAAAAGCTTGTGATTTTTACATTGCACAGTAATTATACAATTTTTAACGGAAATTAATACGGCAATGGGTTACGATAGCTATATTTTTTACTATTGTGTACAAAAAATATTTCCTTTTACTTCGTTGCTTATCTTGGTCGGGTCAAGTAGGGTTATGGATTGTGGATTATGTTATTCTATATTATTATTAATTTAATGTATTATTTGAGTTTATTACTAAATTTTGTTCACCTAATCCTCTACTGAGATTTCTACAGAGATCAATTCCGAGACAAATGTTTTAATTTTACAGGTAACTTATATTAACAATTATATACCTTATATTGTTAGCCCCTAACAAAATGAACACAAACAACTTCTATTAATAAAAATAAATATATAATTACAGTAATCTTTCATAGTACTACATAAAGACAAAATATGCAAATTGCTTATTTATGGTATAAATAAATCTTATATATTTTTTTTTATTTATCAAAGAAAAATAATCCAACTATATAATTTTACGATCATCTCATAACATTGAAAATAAAACTATTGATTGTGTATCTAAGATAAAAGGGTGGGTGCAAAGACAGTTACCAACTTCACAAAATGAAATCCTATGTCTTTACAATAAGGTTTAGTTAATTTTGTCTTTAAATAAATAGCAACCGCTAAAAGCATCGGAATTCGGACAACAAAAGGTTAAAATATCGAACACTATCATAGGGATATTTTCAATCGACAGTGGACACGATATGTTCAGAAAAAAAGTTACTTTCTTACTATGCAAATATAAGTAGGTCTTTGTGTTCAATTTGTAAGTGGCTGTAACTAATATTATATTAATTTTCATTGTGCTAGACACAAATTTATTAAATAAGAGCTACCCATTAGGAACTTTACCAAAATGATATTTCAGTGATAGTCAAATTGAGTGATTAAGATGGATTTTATAATAATTAAATCACTTGTGGTTTCATTATATATAAGTCCCTTAATTTCGAATAATGAATATAAGGATAGATGGACGATATTTTTTTTTTTTATACTATTAACAATTTTGACAAGTGGTTTTACAGGAAGTTATGAATAGAGTAACTTTTGTACAAAAGCTATTAGTAACTAGTTATTGCCTATTTCAGATTTGATATCGATGGACATTTATGATCAATTCCATTAAAAGGTATTTTCCATTTGTAATTTTGAGAATCATATTTCGGATTTGAATACACGAACTACGACTGAATCTGCAGATCAAGTTTGTTGGGTTGCTCATATATGTAGAGGGAAAAATTGATAAAATTAGCATCCTCTTAAAAGAAGTATTTTATCAGTGAAACTAAATATTTCTAAAGTAAATGAGACGATAAAAATAAAAGAAAAACATTGAGAGTTTAATATTATACTTTCATATTTATTGTTTGTTTTATAACAATATTTTTTATTAAATTTTTTTTTCCCTGATAGAACACATTTTCTTCCAATTTTCATTTCACTCTACATTTCCTTGTTATTATTATTGTAACATATAGTATTACTCTCATGATTTATTTCGTATGTGTTTCACATGATTTTAGTTCTATATAGATATTATCATAATTCGACAGAAACGATATGAACTTTAATGATGTCCTGTGAATATCAGTATTGGTTCTATCACTATGGAAATTCTCAATATTTCTAATGTAGAGTAATATTTTAACATGTTAGAAATTAGAAGTTATTATACAATTATCAACCTTAATACTGTGGCATTTAACACTTTTAACAAGTCCAACCAAAACATCACAAGCACGAATGATTCAGGCATATCACACACTCCATGACTTTTAATAAATCGGCAAGTAAATTCAACAATCACAAACTTATGATGGACACATATATTACAGTATACAGGAAGATTTATATCTGTACCAACTAGCTGCATCTTTTGCAACTTTTTTAACTTGAAATTTGCTTCACCAGTTTAACTCGAAAAATTTAATGCGCCAAGATATAAGGCGATAGACACCTATTCATGTCAACAAAGTCTTATGAACAAATATTGCTTCACCTTTACACGTAGTAAGTATAATCTGTTTTCTATACTTGTCACAATTATGTTTTCAAAATGTTTATTAGAATTAGAATTGAAAATTAAAACTTAATAAAAAGTAACAATATGTAATTACATATAATAAAACAAAAACCTTTATAATTTAGTACCTTTTTTATGCATTATTATTTCAAATATAAAGACAATTTTTTTTTATTCTGTCAAGTATAAAATACCAGATTATTGTAATCTCTGATGTTGATGCTTTAAGAAACATTGGATTCTTAGACGACTTTTGATTATGGCAACCCTAGCTTGATAAATAAATTTTAATTTTAAACCACGGAAGTATTTAACAAGACTTACATTTAAAAAAAAAATGTCCATTACTAGACAAAATGTTGCAATTATGTTGGTAGCGGGTTGGGCGGTCGTAGTACCGTGATGCAAATGGAACCGCGTAAAATTCTTAAGAGATCTATCACTTCTGGGGTCTTCATTGACGTAACGTTCTCGTCATTGACCTGAAATATTTTAAACGGGAATTATTCGGGTTCAATAATATATAATAATATACGTAACCACTGTAGGTATAGGTGTTATTATGTTATTTATAAAAGTAAGTAATAAATTGATACAAACTAAAAGTGTGTACTAGTAGGTAGATATAGGTGTACTAAAGAAGAAAATTAGTTTGGAGAAGACAAAGGTTTATTAGTCTATTTAAGATTTATCTTCAGTGAGGCCTGTTCTCTTAAAATAGTTCTATATGACTTCTCAGCCATGTCTTTTGCGTGTAACTGAAAGCTCGTGTTCGGCATATAAGAGTGGTGACATATTTTATTTTTACTCTGTCATTACATGTAGAAGAGTGAAGGAGAAGAGAGTGAGAGAGAGAGAGAGAGAGAGAGAGAGAGAGAGAGAGAGAGAGAGAGAGAGAGAGAGAAAGAGTGATTAAAGTTATTAATAGCTTTAAACTAATTACCTGTAATATAACATCGCCTCGCCGTAAACGCCCGTCGCGGGCTGCCACACTGTCGTTGTAGACGGCCGAGATGTAGCTTTGGCCCGACTCCGGATGACTTTGTACGCTGAATCCAAGCCGACTGTTCCATCCGCGGTTCAGTTCCACCGTCACTATCTAATTAATATAAATTCTTTTTAGTAATTATTATAATTACTTACTAAAAAGTAATTACTAGTTAAGATAATGATTAAATGAAATTTCGTCTCTGTCTTTTATATAATTAATTCTACCTTTATATCATTTTGTATCTCAATATTTATCTTGTAAATCAATTTTCAAAAATCTTTTTTTTTTTATGTGCACCTAAGTTATTATAAAGGTTTGTATTGTCAGTTATTTTATTTAGTTGAAAAATAAAATTATGACTGTGAACATATACGAGTATGTGATTGATGATAAGAAGATCCAAGCCGATTACAAATAACAGGAAAATGTAAAGGAAGAAAAAGAAGGCATAGTAAATATAAATTAGAAATATAATTAACACGATAAAACTTATTATAAATTGTTTAAGATTAAAAATTTATATTTTTGTCTGTGAATCTTTTCTAGAATTTTAGTAATTTTTACAAGCAATACATTTTGAGATCATGTAATATAATATTTATGAATAAGAACTAAAAAAATTAGACGGTTTTGTAATAGATAATATTCGCAAGTAACTGACCAAATATATGTTGTTGTTCTAAATAATATTTTTTTTGTAATCTCTTTAAAAGTAGTCAAATTGGTACAACAGTTCTTAAGTATTGCGTTTACCACCATTTACCAGAGGGAGACTTTGTACAAAAGTCGTTTGCTTTGGCACCTGTCCCATTCGTGTTTTAACCGTGAAGCAGTTGTGTTTGCATTGCTATGTTTCGGTTTGAATGATGGGATATAGCAGTGAATTTACAGGGTACAGAGGAATAACACCTGAGACCTCAGGAATGGCAATGCATGGGGGGGGGGGGGTATCTTTTACAGGATACTCTGTTATGTCCATGGTACTGCTCATGTTTATAGGCGACGGTTACCACTTTGCATTAGGTGGGTCGTCAACTTGTTAGACATTTTAAGTTGCATAAAAAAACAATGTATCCAATATTTTTTATGTATCTCAATATGTACAATCGTACAAAAAAATGCCACGTCGGTCCAGACATTCCCAAGCACGCTTACCAACAAAGAGCACTTTTTATTTTATTATTAGTACGTAGTATCAGTAGTAGTAGTAAGGATTTTCGTTCTCGCTTTTGAACATGGGTGATGGGATGCCAATTCTAGGAGTGTATAGTCCAATAGTGGATAGAACCTAATCGATAAATCGTACAGGAGATGAAGGTGAACGATCGGCGACTGCAATATATGCTGAGTACGTCAATGGTCGCCTCCTGAATAGGCGACCTTTGCCCTTTTCCGGTCGCCCATTCGATCGCCGGTCGTCAAGGAGAATGAAAATAAAATATGTGATATGAAATGAAACTTTGTAATTATATATCACATATTTTATTTTACCCTTGAGTAAAATAGTAAGTTTGATTATGTATATAGGTAACAATTAGCTTACCGTAGGTTCTGTACTGGCCTCACCGGTCGGATCTTCTGGCTTGATATTCTCTTTTTGGACGGCATCGATATCCTTGACCGCTGGCTGCGGCTCCATCGTCTTCCGCTCGTTATCTGGCGACAATGCGACTCCTTTCCATTTCTTTAAGCCATTATCTAAAATAAAAAGCGACGAAGCTCGATAATATTAATCTACTAATGAATGAAACTAGAACTAGCGCCTTTCTCCGTCGTGGAGGGAGTAGTGTGCGCTCTGATTGCAACTGGTGAATGTTTTGGCAAGAACATACATATGTTGCATACAACGCTTTAGGATTTGTTACCGTTACAGTGTCTACTTCGTTAGTAAATTTACGAAGTATGAAAATGTAAAAAGCAAGACATCTAATGTGATGATATAGATAAATAGATTAGTGAACAATTTTATTTGTACGAAGCTAGTACTTGATATATTACACTACACTTTTATATAGCATGACCCAAAGACGTATGAGATAGTAAAAATTGATTTTTTTTAAAATTCACTAAAATCAAGCAGTAGGTACCGTAACTGGTTAGATTTTCAAGATTTCACTTTTTATGAAATATTGGATTTTGCGTCATGTTTTTAGCAAGCAATAACATATAAATTAAAATGGCAGACTTTATGAATATGTATGAATGATTAGCATTTGCATTTATTAGCAAAAAGCTAACTGGCATACTTTTACTATATAGAAAACTTACCTTCATCTTTGTGCGTATCGTTTGTATCACTACTGGTGCTGTGCAGTACTGCACTCTGGTATGCAGGATTAGAGTGCTTGAATCTAGCTTCGTCATTCGACAGTTCCGCTGGCATCGATACGGGTTCATCAGAGTCCACGGGAAATACCGGTTCATTATAACGCTGTCGATTCATGTCTTCCTGGTACACGTTAGGCGCATCCAGGGTATCGTTGTCCAAATTGTTCAGTTCGTATCCATGAGGGGGCACTGGAAATTATTGGTAGATTATATTAGATTTTTAAGACGGAACTTGGTATGAAAATGTTTAAATGAAAAGGCTAGATTTGACCTGGATATATTGAATGAGCACTAATTTTCTTGTAATCAATCCACTCGGGGTTATATATATGACGATAGAGGTATAGAATGCTACCAGAAATTTATTGGGGTCGAATGTCAATATTAAAGTATATAAGGTATTTATTATGGCAGTAAAAACAAAAGGCAAATTTAATTATGTTGTTGAAAAATATAGTGTTTCAGAACAGTTGATACAAGGATATAAGTTTGAAAACGACTAACAGCGGGTGTGAAGTGATGATTGACTGGTGTTATGAAATGTGGTGCATAGGGCGCGGCCAGTGCATTATGCCGTATGCCAACACATCACATGCTAATGTACATTTGTAGTTTATCAAAAGTACCAACATTTATGGATGCAACGAAGGTGTAGAGATAGGAAAGTTTGTCGATAGCATATTCATTGAGGCGTATCAGAGGCATGATTGGAGAATATTATGAGGATGTAATAATACGGTGAACTCTGGCTACTGTGTGTGTTTTGTTTTTGCATGTCACGGAATCCGGCGGTCGTCTATCGCTGTTGCGGATTGAAGGCGTGAAGCAGATGGAAGTACGATGAGGTACCAGGAGTGCGGCCGACAGTGTCTCACCTGTCAGGCTTAGCTTTTGTTTTCTACAAGAAGGTGGAGCGGTCGGGCTGGCGAGTGTCACAGTATGCGCTCGCTGCGGCCGTCTCACCTCTTGTGCGACTTCGGAATTTTCCGACTGTGCTACCGTAATGGTACTTGGAACATCTGCGCCGAACATCTACCTTAGTGTACTGTGTCATTGTGGTTGTAAGCTTTGTTTGTGCTTTAGTGTTTATGATACACAAATAGATATGTATTTTACATTGTTGAAGTATTATATCGGAATCTTGTCTGTATACGAGTATTGAGATGTGGGAATACAATTAATTACTATGAAGCGAAGTAGCTGTTGTGTATAATACACTCCGTGTATGCAATATTAATACGGATCACCTAATGAACTCAGTCTACCACAGTTAATTACTTTGTTGTTTTGTTTGAAAATTCTGAACACGTTTACTCGGTATAATATGTTGCCGAACAATAATTGGTTGGGGTTACTTTGTGAAACTAAAACGGGTCATTATTAACAACTATCAATTATTCTATTATATAGAAATGCAATATTTATGAAGAAAAAATTGTGAACAAGTTTGTAGATCGACGTTAAAGTATAAAAGAATTTAATGATTCCAGTATACATTCAACAATTATTAAATTAATTATACCAATTATTGTATTCATTATTTTAGATATTTCTTAATTAAATTATTTGAACATTTTTAAGTTTCCGTTGACAAATGATGAAAACGGATCTTTTAGGAAAATCATTAGGTCTGGTCATCTATACGTCACAGAAATACGTATAACTTTTGTAGTTTAAGTTTTTCACAGAAAAAGATCGTAACCACATAACAGATATATAAGAAAAACTACATTTTTTTTAGTTTAATTGAACGATTCTCAACTTTTTAAACGATAGTATGAAAAATATTATTTATTGTAACACAATAAATCAAAAGAGATCATAATGAAGAATTTTGCAGGTATTTCTTTAAATATCTCTGGCGATATATACTTACTAATATTATAAATATGAAAATGAGTCTGTTTGTTACTTTGTAGTGTCTAGTAACAGTTTAACTAATCACTATCAAATTTGGTATTTACGTACTGTATGGAATAGAAAAGCATATAATAGGCTACTTTTTATCCCGGCCAGTAAACATATCCTGGTCACACGGACACGGACAAATCGCGGGTAAAAGCTAGTTAGTTATAAATTTAATGTTATTTTTATACTCTTATCAAATTTTGTAAATACCAACTCGTAGCAATTAGGGCTCTCTTCATCTTACTAATGTCACACATTTGAAGGTTTACTTTTTTTTAATTTTTAAGATGTTATTTAATGGCTCAATCAAATCGTCAGGATTTTTTGTCATCTTTGTACTATTTGGGACAGTGAATATAGATCAATCAAGATTCTACGAACATCCCGACAAAGTTGCAGGTTGAGACTTGTATGTATACGATACGTACCATTAGGTTGTTCATAGTGGTTGGTCTCTTTAGTGAGTTTGCGGAACTTGCGCGGGGAAAGGCAAGGAGATCTTGAGCCGTCGACCGCATCAGGAGTCAGCCTACGCGCCGCCAAGTCGCACAGCATTGATACTGCTTCGGGTCTGTGAAGGATTATTTCAATAATCTTGGCTTATATGGTCTGTTACATCAAGTCGGCTTAAATAATTACGAGATTAGCTCGGTGAATATAAGCCCCTAAACGAGTGATAAAAGAATATATAGATAGATACGTTTTCGATGTCGTATGAGATAGTATAGGACAATAACGTACAGTATCTTGTTCTACAATAAATGTAATCTAGTCGAAGCATCGAGATAACCTAAAATAAATTATTTTATTTTACTTAAATGCAATACGAAAGTCTAAAAGTTAATGTGCAGAACGAAAATGTATCTATCGATAAATTAAAAACTTAATTTGTTTTGGGCGGGGTTTTTTAATTGGAAAGTATATAAAATATATATATATATAACAAATATGATTTCTTATATAATACTTTTTAGTCATGCAGGTGAATTCGTGGAGTACAGCTACTATGGTATAAGAATATAGGTTTTTTATAGTGAATTCTATCTAGATATAATTTCAAGGACTTAGTAAAAAGACAGAATAAATTTAATAGTAGATAACATAGTTTAGTCATACAGATATTGGTAAACAAACACCTTTAAATATCACGTCATGTTGAGGTATGTAGTGCATTTTATATAACTATAATATATTGTTTGACGTACTATTTGTTCTAAAGCCTCATTTGCAATACGGCGGAATGTCACCAGCTGTTTAAATACATAAATAAGTATATAATATATTCATAACAGTTTTATCCTTATCTAGCTTTCGCCCGCAGATTCGTATGGGTGAATTTTGGAATTACAAAAACCTACGAAGTATGGCGTATCAAGAATTCCATCTAGATAGGTGACAGAACGACATCTAGAAAATTAACCAACAAAATAAATTATATATATTGTTTTAGGTTCTATTCCTATTACCAAGATCCCCCCATATTATTTATTTGTTAAATATCTCCAATGTATGGACACTGTTTAGTTACATTTTGGGGCTTGTACAGATGACAAACATTTTGATCATGTACAAAATATCTTATTATTTCTTTTTTATTTTTTTTATGTAATTAGTTTGCCTTGACTTCTTACGTTTTTAGCTCTGACAAAGGATTAAATCTGAGGTGCCATTTCTTTAAACTTATCTGTTAACCTTACATTTCAATTTCATAATATCGCGAATTTACTGCTTTATGGGTAACCATAAACTGAAACTACAATAATTTTGACTTAAATCTATTAGACGTTAGGGGGGAAAGGGATTGTTGTAATGGAGACTAAGAATCCCATTGCTAGCAATATACCCAACCAGATCGACCTCCTCGCGGTTCTCCCTGGAAACTGTCATGGTTAATTCCTGATGAATTCATTATGATGGGCTAACCTGTTTTCATTCTCATCTATCACCCTTCACTGGTGCTCCGCCAGCGTATCCCGTTAGCGCAGGCGGTTTTACCATACCATTTTCATCCATCAAAAAAAAAATCTATTAGACGTATAGTATACGATAAGTTTCGAGAAGTATCGCCTCAGAATCGATCCCATTGCTGACAAATTTTAATCCGGTCGTAACAAAATCCTATATATAATATTAGTTGCTACAACGCTCACGTATTATGCAAGTACTAGGTTTACATAAAGGGAAATATTGTCCGCGGACAAATGTTTGTGTAGGTTGTATAACGCAATTACAATGCTTTAATGTTATGGAATTTGAACACTACAATAAAACAAATGAGAAAAAACTCCATTGTTCTATTTTTTTATTTTTTATGACTATATTTGTTTTCATTAGACTAGTTAACATGTGTATTAAAGAAAGTTTATAAACAATAAAACAAATACTTAGGTATACATTTTATTGTTCTTTCATTTACTATCTAGAAGTTTCAGTGTCTATATAGTACTTGATTAAGCAAATTCAAAGATTTATTTTTCTAATACCTATCCGTAAAATTCCAGTAGCCGTAAAATTAATTATAAATTTTAAACCGGAAGGGCAGCGGTAACTTTTGAACGTCGGCAAGATAAATAAAAGTTTGCAAAATGGACGTCAGGGAAACCATCCTGTTTGTTCACATCGGATGGATAATTTTTCTACGTTTTCAACATGCAAATTTTATGCAAGGTAACGGTATTATGGCAACTTGGCGAAAACATTTCAGTTAAGAGTGTTTTTTTTTTTGTTGTTTAAAAGTGGATTTAGACAAAAACAACAAAGAATTCAGACGGCTCAAACTGATCAAGAGACAGGATCAGGTATGTTTAGATAAAAAAAAAAAAAAACAACTCCAGAACAAAGTGGACAATTTTTCGTGAATACAGTTGAGAAATAAAAAAATGCTATTAGCGATTTATCTTAGCATGTTCATTAATACCTAAAAGGGAGAAATAGGGTATGAACGAACGAATGAATTGAATGACGCTTGATTGGTCTCCATCAATCTATCTTAAAACAATTTTTGAACGTAGATCTGTGTTGGAATGTATATAAAATGCGTTACCATTCGCATAGATGATTGAAATAAAAACGAGTAAAAGACAAAAGACAAATCACAATTAAACTTTATAATAGCTGGCTGGCCCAGCTGTGGTGTGGTTTTAGCAGAAAGTTAATATTACTGAAGGTCATGTCATTATAATCGTTGTTAAAATTAATTTAAAGCAGTGAACGGTTCTAGGTGGAAGATTTTAAAGAGATATTTTGAAACACAAATGAAAAATCTGTGATCGTTATATCATAAATTAGGGAGATAAGAATACTGCTTCAAACGTAAACGGTTCCTTTACATTTTAACCTGAATTCCTTTGAGATTGATAACGTTTTAAACAACCTGTCATCACTTGACAGACTGTTGAGTCTTTCTTAATTAAAACTATCGGAAAACTCGATAATTAAAAGTCCCGCATTAATTCACTTGGCGTTAATAAAGGAATTAATCTGACGAAAATTTAATAAACTGAACAGATCTGTTTAAGACATATTTATAGCAGCTGCCAAGAAGGCATTTCAAAATAATAACAGTCATGGTGATACAATACAAAAATAGTAGCAGTTACTCCTTAATAATTGTTACAATATGGCATATATTTTAATAAATCTGGCGTGTTGTTATTCAGATTTAGCAGTACATATCTATATACTGATCCAATACTTTTAACATTATTGAAAATAGATATCCGACTGATATGCGTGACGTCATAATGGGTGATGACATTTTATCTGCTATAAATGTCACAGGAACCCAATATATAGATATCGAATCGGTATCGATATTACCAATGCTTATTCAGTAGTAATCAAGTAAACTGATTATGAATGAATCAATAAATTCGTACCTATATTTTATTGGCATTATACAACACAGGAAATAAGCAAGACAATTAATAAATATAACGGTTATGAACTATTAACTATATGTATTATTAACTGATTCTGAACACTAATAATCTAAATATGATATCTAAATTCATAGATAATGGAATTCAATTTAATGACGTTTTGACGTTGATATTTGGTTGAATTTTAAACATCAACATTTGGTTGCAAAACACATCGTGTGAGTTTACAAACCACTCGTTTCGAGGACAATCTGTTTTTTTTTTGTAAAGTTTCCAATTACCTAAATATTTACTAATGTCAAAATGTGATTATGTTTGTGTGTTACTTTTGGCGTTTTAACGGCTCTATTTATCATCATAAAATTTATACTATTTCGCGTGAAGAATAACAGGTATTTTATTTCAGTCATGCGAATCAAGTTTAATCGGTATGCAGAATGTAATCGAAGTCGTTAGCATATGTAAAACTAAGACTCTACGCATGCTGTAGAATATATTAGGGCAGAAATGTTCTGAGTCAAAAATTTAATATAAATTTTTGACTCTTCTATACTAATTTAACAGTTAGATTTATCGCGTTAGTATGAGATATGCAAAATTGTTTTGGCATTTATTGACCCATGTTCTTTAGGGGAAATCATTTAGTTTTACTTATACAACACTGTTTTAAAACGATGCTAATGTTTACGATTATACCCTGTAAAAATAAAAATAAAAAACAGTTTCTCATACCTCAGCGGCGGTTTAGGTCTACTCGTCGGTGCGTCGGAGTCGGTTGGCCCTTCTTTTGGGGACATCGGTGACAGCGGTGTGGCGGCGTGGTCGCGGTACAATCGCAGTCGCACCTCCGAGCCGCATGCACGCAGAAACGCGACGGCCTCCCCATGCGACATGTTCGACATTGAAGTGTCGTTGACCTGTGTGTTTGTTTTGTGAGGTCAATACACGACGGATGTCTCGCGAGATGAATTACCCACCTTTTATGTCATAGGTATTTTTAGTTTGTTAATAATATTCTTGTGCCAGTTTTTTAACATGAAGGTGTTATCTCAAATTATTAAGAACTATTAGCCCATTCCAGCTTTGCACTGGTACAATTTATTGCAAAACAAAAAAATATATTTAGTTAGAGAAAAGTTTAATTATAATGTAGATATTATAATCTTAAATTATAATTATGACACATAATATAAATCTTCCGTAAAAAATATTTATAGACAATAATATTTGCATCAAAATCTGTTGTTTGGTTAGACGTAAGCTGAGAAAGAGACGCGGACAGTCATTTCGTCATAGTCGTAGAATACTGACGGATCTATATATGTAATATTTGTCAGATCCATCAGTATTCTACGACTATGACGATTATGTTTTATTTATATTATTTAGTGATGGCTAGAAATAAATTTAGAGGTAGATTAAAAATAGTTTCGTTCTTCATCGCCATTTCAGTTACTCATTGTTTACTGCTAAACCTCTCCCAAAAAAAAAAACAATCTCGAGTCACCTACACTCAAACGATTAATTCTAATTCTAAAATTCTATTTACATAAAATAGGCTTCTTTTTAATTTACTTCTATTGTATATATACGAAATCTTTTCAAACTAGAATATAATTAATTTTTAATCAATCATTATATAATCACATTTAAAGGTTGTTTTTTCAAATTTTATGTAACCATTAGTTTTTCAATAAAATGGGTCAATGTATGTATATGCTAATATTTTTATCTATACCAATAAAATGGAATATTCAAAATATAAAAGAAACGAATTGATTTGAAAGCACTAGTTACATATACTACGATATTCACTGTCTGAGGTTATATTTATTGTTATAGTATGGTTATAGTTCATTCCACGGAAATTACAAATAAATTGCGTATTAAATAAGCAGCGATTAAAATTAATCGATTGATACTGATTTGATGTATTAAAAAGATGAGAAAAATTTTGCAACGCATGGGGGTATCATGGGCGAAACAATATACTTTGTTATGTCCATAGTACTGCTCATGTCTATAGGCGACGGTTACCACTTTCCATCAGGTGGGTCAGGGACATCCGTCAGCTTGTTTGCCATTCTAAGTAGTATAAAAAAAAAAAATTGCACCGTAATATTAAAACTGTGATATCAGTCGTGACAAATATGGGCCAAAAACTGGGGTAAACTTAAAAAAATTACCCAATTAGATTTGGAGTATATGTATATGATACCGTAGGTATAATAACACATAAAACTACAGTTAAATGAGTCTCCTACGAGTATTTATGAAAGTCGCTTAAAAATAAGACGAGGAAAAAATTTAACGAAAATTGAACGAATTTAAAACGAAATATTTTTTTTTTTAAATATAATCTCTCCCACTGTGGAATTTTATTGGAGTTGAAATTAAAACAACGTGTTTATAAGGCAGTGCTCTATCAGTGAAAGCTAACATTTTTTCCAAAGAAATATATGTAAACAACTATAATAAAATTGTATATATCAAAATTTTCTAACATTTCTCAGTGTTTTTTTGGGAAAAGTGTTCAGTTTTACTGGTAGAATAAAACGATGCTAATTGTTCAATTTCATCTTCTGAAGTCGATTATTATCGGCATTATAGACAGAGAAAAGATGAAAAAAAGTAAAGAGAAAGTATACTGAAAACATGAACGAAACCAAATAAGCCACAATGGTTTGTAAATATCTAGTTTTATTACATTCCACGTACGTCTGTTCTATACATTCCAAATGTTATTATATTTGATCAGTTGTTATACGGCGGAAATTAATGGTCCATCGGCTTTAGTGAATATGGATAAATCACTAATAATAACAATGTGTGCATTCGAGTTGTGTAATTGAACATAAACTTTGAGTTAATCGAGTGTGGTAATGTACAAGTTTAAAGTACGAAAGGAGGGATAGTATGAAAACATCACAACTACACTTTATGTATACTCGTACGTACATTTACGAAAATATACATATATATTTTAATAGTAAATAATAATTATAACAAAATTGGCACTATAATCCACTCTGTATCCGCTCTAGTGACCTAATAAACTTAAGTAGTAAATTTATGTATAAAATTGATATGAAAGAATTTATGGAAGTTTTTATAATTTATCGTAGTATGGCACGGCATTGTACGATTTTATCGTTACGATATAATAAGAGAGCAAAATGTATATTTCATTCCATTTCATATAAATACGTTTTTAATTTTCCGAGACTATACAGGCTGATATCAAAATCGTTAGCATAATTTTTATATCAGTGTAATTGAGCATTGTCACCGAAGAAACATGAATCAAAATATGACGAAAAATTCCGAGATTTTTTTATGCAACTTAGAATGGCAAACAAGTTGATGGCCCGCCTGATAGAAAGTGGTAACCGTCGCCTATAGACATGAGCAGTACCATGGACATAACAGAGTATACCGTTTCGCCCATGATACCCTCCACAGGTTGCCATTCCTGAGGACTCAGGTGTTATTCCTTTGTACCCTGTCTTCTATAGTAACACACTGTTAAGTATGTGAGGCTCAAATTTTGTTCTAATTTATAATTCACTCTATTTCAATTCTAATATATTGCATAGGATGGGTAGATTCTTAGATATATTACATCACAGAAACTTCATACAAAAACACCACGAACCGTGATTGTCACAACTACAGAAATTAGTAACGTCTGTACATGTGACAATGTGTGCATGTCTAGTTAGAGATAGCGCGGGAAAAGCGTTCGCTTCCATGTATTTTATAATGTGGATGGAACTGTGACCTTATTTTCTTCATAACTCGTTAATACTGTATCCTCTATCCTTCTCGGAGATCGGGGAGGTTATTGAAGCATAGACTAGAGACATCCATTAGAGTATGGTAGCTGACGGGTGTTTGAGAGAGGGTGAGGTCATATCGCAGCGAGCGCTAGGGAGTGTCCATACTTTAGTACTATTACTTATACTGTGGTTTTACGTACCGCTAATAACGACGATTTCACACTATATTGTGAACGTTGACAGCATGATAATAATATGGAGGTGCAAGGAAATTAAAAAAACGTCTTCATATAATTTCATATGAATACCATTTGCTGTTCTAAACATAGATCGTGACTTTAAATGAATGAATGAATAAGTATTATTTAATTGCATTATAGAACATAGGAATTAAAGCGACACAACTATTAAACTATGTGTGTAAAGATGTATATATGTCGAAATTAATTATGTAGCTAAAGTTTATACATTGGTTAATGAGATTTGTAAACAGAAGAGGGCTCATGACTTCACGACACAGAGAATCCTAGTGTGAAGTCTTTGGAACAAAATATACAATTGTAACATGTGTTTTTAGATACAATAAATATTATTATTAAATGTAACGATACAATTGTATAAGTAGAGTAAGGCGGTCTTATTGTTGAAAACAATCCTTTCAAGATAACCTTAGGGTAGCGGACTAATTGTTGTATAAGTAGGTATAATAATAAAGTAATTTAATGTTATAAAGTACCTGTAATAAAGGCGGTTTAAAATAATAGTTTAAAATATGAAGGAAAAATAATAATTATTAAAATCACTTATAAGCTTATAACGTCTATTGTTCCCTTAGTTCGCTTCTTATTCACTTCTTATATCCTTGAGATAAATAGATATTGTAAACACAAAAAGTAATATTACTATTGACCTACATGGAAAAAATCTGCACTCATATAATAATAATTATGTTTGAGTAAAAAGTCAATGTCCGCTCTAGTGACCTGATGTTTCATTCATGACAAATCGGTGCTTGTTTTATTTTTCATCCAAAGTGCAGTCGATGACCCGACTTCAGCGAATACCTACTTTCAGTACTGCAGATGCGGATGCATGAGCTATGTTTAAGAGAAACTAATTAAAGTAAAATTAGAAAGTAACTATTAAAATAATAATATTTTTAAAAGCAACAAGTTTATTGACTTCTTGAATAGTTAAGAGTCTTGTAATTTAGTAATCATCGTTGAAATAATTACTACACTATTATTTTTTATGCATAATATATGTGCACTAAATATAATTGCATCTAGAACATATTTGTTGTTTTTGTATGTGGATTTTAACTACGAGTACAATAGAAATATTTTTTTAACATTTTGACATATGTTGCTCGTTTTTGTTCCTTACGTGTCGTAAGAAGTGTATATGGGAACAATGTGTAAGACCTGTGTAAATGTATCTGTACGCCAAGCCAAGGTTAATAGTAGGTATAAACTTATATCTTCTCCTTTCAATGAGAAGACTCCCAATTCTTGCTCAACAACCTATATGGATGCTTTATATGGGTTGTCATGATTAGTAATAATGTCTCATTGTACTAGGAGTTCATAACACTGTAACACGTACCGCAACTATTCTGTCACCAGGCTGTATCCTGCCGTCGCTGAGCGCCGGCTCCCGAACTAGCGCTCGCACGTAATGCCCGAGCGCGCTGTGGTCCTCCTTGCGTAACGTGAATCCAAGCGAGCCGTTCACCTTAGTCATGACTATGTCGAATTCCTGCAATTAAATATTAATATTACAGCTTCTGATATGTTTTTTATAATTTAATAATGTATCTATATGTTGCAGTCAAAACTCTCAACCAGTCAAAAGTACTTTTGACCGCATGCTTTAGTCAATAATACTTTTGACTAAAATAACCTAACCTAACAAAGCACTTTTAATCGCAAATTTGCAGTTAAAGTACTAATAACCAATAATTTTCCGTCAAAAACACTTTTGACCAACCTGTTCAGTCCCCCGCCAGCGTATACCATTCGCGCAGGCGAGGTTACCATTCCATTATCATTCATTAAAAAAAAACTTCAGTCAAAAGTACTTTTAACTAATTTTGCTAGTCAATAGTACTTTTGAGTTGTTTAGAGTTTGGACTACAACATATTTATATTAATTTGCAGTTAGTAAATTACGTAATAATTTTAAATACATAATCGGGATTTAACGCAATGAAAAAAAAAAAACTACCTAGTCATTACTATAGCTGTTATTTATATTTTAAAATGGCATGTGATCACCGTTCCTTTACACGTTGTACATATATACAATTGTAATTAAACATGGTATTTAAAAATAAAAATATTTTGGCTATTTACATTTCATATATTTGTTAGTCACGGTCATTGTAATAATTTCAGTACGTTTTTTATATTTTTTACTTACCACTGATCCGTCATCCTGGGGAGCGTGAACAAAAACATTTAATTAATCAGCAGGGATTATCTGTGCGTTCATTATAATGCATACAAGCCATTTTTGAAGTAATTATGCCCAAAGTTGTGGTTATTAGGGACATATACTACAAAATATATAAGATCACATTATCTAGATTTCAACAATTCATGACGTTATACTAATGTATTTTGGATATGATTTCATTTATTAGTAACAAGTATTTGAATGTTACTAAAATATAAAATTTAGACTTTAATAATTATTATAAGATTGAAAAAAAATCTTAGTAAGTGTAGACTGAATATACACCTTTACACCATGCCTATGTTCTTTAATATTTTTATAATAATTTGCAGTTAAATATATGGCCATTATTATATGTTATTATATATTTTTTAATAGAATAGAAGGTGGTACATGCAAAAATAATTTATATTACTGCCAAAGAGATTTATATAGAATGCTAGTTTTTCCCTTTTTCATATTACCCGTGGTTGTCGTAGAAGGTTGCAGCGTTCCTCTTAAAACATCTCCAAAAACCTAACTGCGGTTGTCAACCCACTTGTCAAGTGTGGCAATTATTGGCAAAAACCCCCCTTATGGGGGAGGCCTATGTTCAGCAGTGGACAGTTAACAGGTGATATGATGATGATGATTCAATTTATCCATTTCTCACGTATGATTAAAATATTTATTTTTTAAATATAGAATAGAATAGAAAAATAGAAGGTTGCAGTAACGGGACAATTAATCGGGACATTGATTTTATATGTTACCTCAAAATCTGCTCAGTAATGTCTGAATTGTTAATTTTCAAAACTATTATATAAATAATTATATTTCTGTATAATTATATTTGTTCACACTTAGCAAAAAATAATCTGAAATACATCAATTTATTATTAAATATACCCAATTCTGATCCAAGTTCTCTATTAACATCAATTATGAACATTCGTCTAAAACAAATAAACCATTAGAACCCCGATTATGTTGTTTATTACGCATTCGTACTCGTCCAGCCAATGTGTTTGTCAAAATGATATATTCAAATAGGGATATTAAATTCTGACACTCAATATTGTGAGAAATAATATGAACAAATAATATGGAACAAAATTTGAGCCTCACAAACATGCGTTAATATGAGTAAAGTTACTGTTTTTATATCCAAGTTTATGACTGTTTTTACTGATAGCACTCACTGCAGTTTAAACACAAGGATAATGCAAAAATACCAAGCTATACTAATTGACTCACCCCATATTGTACGTCGTATACAGGTAAAGGTCGATCGAGGTCTGGCAGTCGAAGATCACGTCGTTCCACCTCAGGACTCGCCTCTCGTCTGCCTTTGCCTTCCGATGACGAGGTTGTCGCGCTGCTGGTAGTTTGAGATAATCTATAGAACATATCAGATCATAAATGCTAAGCCAATAACACTCAATACTTTGGTATTCTTGAAATTTGGTCACGGCATATAATAGGTCAGCTCTTCCTTTCCAGTGGCTGTTGTAAGAGGCGTCTAAAGAAAATTAATGGGCAACAGTGTCCCTCTTAAAACATCACTAAAGCTTGCAATTCCCTTCCTTAATGGTAAGTAGAGGGAGACTTCGTACAAAAGTCGATTGCTTGTGTACCTCTGTCCCATTCGTGTTTCAACCGTGAAGCAATTGTGTTTGCATGACTGTGTTTCGGTTTGAAGGGTGGCATATGGCGTGAATTTACAGGGTACAGAGGAATAACACCTGAGTCCTCAGGAATGGCAACGCATGGGGGTATCATGGGTGAAACAGTATACTCTGTTATGTCCATGGTACTGCTCATGTCTATAGGCGACGGTTACCACTTTCCATCAGGTGGGCCGTCAGCTTGTTCGCCATTCTTAGTAGTATAAAAAAAAGTAGGTGCCAGGGTAGTCTATGAGGGAGGTCTATGTTCAGCAGTGGACAGTGAACGGCTGATAAGATGATGACTTTAGTATTCAAAACAATGCATGGTGTAAAACATGTGATATGACATTGATATTAACATTGAAACATTCACATCACACTAAATTATGTTTAAGCGTTATTTTAGTACTTTTACATAAAAAAAAGTATTAATATTTTTTATCTAAGTTACTTTATTTTTAAATTAGAAAATACTGAGAATGTCATCATAGCATAGACTATTGCTCTTATTCATAAAAATTTCATATCTTCCATAAACTTATTTTAGGTATCGAAGTGTTTTGTTTTTCCTTATTTTTCTAATTTTTTATTTGAAAGAAAGTGACAAAACATTTTTAGTTAAAATAAGTTTGTAGAAGGTTTAATTTTTATGAATAAGGCGATAGGTATAACTACAATTAGTAATATATTTTTATTATTTCAGCCGTTAACTGTCCAGTCTACTGCTGAACATAAGTCTTCTACCATAAGGGAAGTTTTGCTAGTAATTGGCACGCTTGGCAGGCGGGTTGGCAATCGCAGTTAGGCTTTTATAGATGTTTTAAAGGGGACGCTACTGCCCATCCCTCCATCATAAGCTAGTAATATATATTTACTATATATTAGAGAGGAGTATTTTTTTTAATAAGTATTAGCTTTTAATTTCTTAATCAATTAATTTACTAGCAAGTAGTTTAGAATTACCAAAATCATAGTGGACTCTATCGTCATATGGTATCATAATATGTCAGTTTGGACTGATACCCTTTTTATATCCATCCAGTTGAAAAGGGTAGCGCTTTAATAAATGAAAGATGTATGATATGAATGGATGCTGAAAGATATGAAATATAATGATAAATGTTATTTATCTAATAACGCAACTATTAAGTAAAGGATGATGAATAAACTATCAAATTTTATTCTATCCAGAACACTGTGCAGAGCAAAGTAATTGAAGAATTCCATCTATTGTTATAAAAATTTATTAACATTTCACTGTTGGGCACGGGGCTTCTTTATCTTACTAATTTACCAGAGGGAGACTTTGTACAAAAGTCGATTGCTTGGGTATCTCTGTCCCATTTGTGTTTCAACCGTGAAGCAGTTGTGTTTGCATGGTTGTGTTTCGGTTTGAAGGGTGGGATATGGCGTGAATTTACTGGGTACAGAGGAATAACATCTGAGTCCTTAAGAATGGCAACGCATGGGGGGTATCATGGGCGAAACATTATACTCTGTTATGTCCATGGTACTACTCATGTCTATAGGCGACGGTTACCACTTTCCATCAGGTGGGCCCTCAGCTTGTTTTCCATTTTAAGTTGCATAAAAAAACATTAATAAACTTTTATCTAGGCGATGTGTGTACTTGAGAGACATTTAAGAAAATTTTATATGAAGAATTTTAATCATCTATTAGATGCCAAAAGAATAATTTTTAGAAATCCTTGTATTACACACGTATTGTTTTACTCTTATAGGCTCCTATTATAATATCGTGTGAATGAAAAGGAGGCATAACATAATGTGTTCTTAGTCCTTTATGACATAACTACAGTCAAATTTATCAAATATTTATCAATGTTTGCTGGATACAAAAAATTAATCTAATACAGCAGTGTTATTAACATTTAAGAATAAGAGTCGTTTATTCAAGTCACGGACTTTAATGCTGCTTGGAATTCACAACGAAGCTAATCAGAAAGAATTACAGGTCTAATCGAATGTGGTTGTAGTCGAGTGTAACTCGTCAGTAGATATCATCGTTTTACCTGCTTTTTTATACTGCTGATTTTACGCTTTTTTTACTTCTTATCTTACTTGATGGAAAATAACGGGAAGATCTATGACGAAGTATGTTTGCTCAATAAATATTTATTCGTCATTGATATAAAAATTATGAGATGGATATGAAAATAGAAGAGGATTTTACTCTGTAGACGTTCGCAGTGAGAGTTCTACGAATTGCGTTGTTTATTTTCAGTTCGAAGAACAAGATAACCAACTCAATCTTTGGCATAAGAGTTATAATAATTCAGTCATCAGTAACGGCAGATGATTCTAGTGTTATAAGGTCTTCTCGTATTACTATATCTATGTACATACAGGAAATTAATGAACAGTGAGTTTTTGTCATTTCCTACAGTTGTTTCGACTTCATCTAGAAACCTTATTTAGGGGGTGTTCAGTGCTTTGCGTCACAGCGTCTCGTCTCGCACTGGTGCAATAGATACAGTTACTCAACTCTGACAACATCATTGTCTCCGATCATCACCTATTTATTCCCCTACACCTGCCTGAACCGACGTCATCACGGGCTATGCGAACCTGTAATGACGCCACTGTATGTGTAGCCCGCAGTGCGAGGCGAGACGCTGTGACGATAAGCCCTAAACATCCACTGAAGATTTCCAGATGAAGTTGAAACAATTGTCGGAAACTACAAAAACACAACGAGTTCATTAGTTTCTCATATGTATAAAGACGTGAAATAAAAATGAAGATAAGTTTTAAAAACAATTACCATATTCTACTAGGTGGGTGAACAATTTCTTTGTTACATTTGTAGGAAAAAGTAAAATGAATTGTGATCTAACACAATTTGTCCCTCGAATAATAAAAAAGAAGAAATATGTAGTACATAGGGATTAGGTAAAGACTGTACAAGAGATAAGACTTTAAGTGAAAACTTTAGTATTACAAACATTTAGAATTTTAATGTGCATTTGAGTACGTACCTGGCATGCATTGGGTGACAGTTGAGGGGGTCTAGTGGCGGCAAATGCGGGGGGTGCGGGGTGCGTGTAGGCGGTGTCGGTGGGTCTGGCGGTGTGACGCTCTCTAATGCGTCAGGTGGTGGCCGACACACCCTTAGTTCTACCCTCGGCGACGCTGTTCGCAGTACCTCTAGAGCTTCCTGTTGGTAAGGATGATTCCACATTAGCCATTTATCATTAAAACAATATGTTTATTATATTTGTATTGTATTGAAATCTTCAATCATTGGGAAGATTTGACAATAAAAATATAAAATCTCTGTTGAGATATGGAAGTATGAGGCTGCATGTGATCAGTGTTTTTTTCTGATGAAAGCGTTATCATCATCATCATCATCATATTAGCCTTTAACTGCCTACTGCTAAATATAAGCCCTAAGGGGTTAGGGGAGTAGCTGCCAAGTTTGGCAGGCGGATTGGCAACCGCAATTAGGCTTTAGAGATGTCTTAAGAGGGACGCCGCCGCCCATCCCTCGCCCTCCCTTAGTCGGTTCTTACGACACCCATAGGAAAGGAAGAAATGGCCTATTCTATGCCAGGACTACACGGCCAGATGAAAGCGTTATATTTATGCATAATTATTATGTTATAATGAACTGTATATAGTGACGTTGTTCAATTTCATTCATTTGTTAAGAAAAAAATCTAAAACGATATTTCATAAACTCAAAAAAACCGATTATTTTTTTTTCACTTATAGAAAGTTGACATTATCAGCGCGTAATATAGACTGTATTTTATTTGAAATAAAATTCTATATCCTAAAAAAAAAACTTAAATTCTGGCAAAACCAGTTTTTTTTTCTAAAAACAAAATTTCTGCACTAACTTCGATAAAATTTCTATGGCACCAATCTGTAAGTACATCCTTTCACATAAAACAATTTATATCGGTATAAAAATGACGTAGTTCTTTATTTCATTATTATTATTTAGTTCCGAATTCATTTTGAAGTCGGTTGACAAAAAGCTGCACAAAGCCGGACGGGTTGCTAATTGTATTTATGAAGAAAATATTTAGTAACATTTTATTTGTATCTCCATAAATGCCGGTAAAATAATATTTATAGACTCCATGAGAATTGTTTACCTTTAGTAAAAGAAAAACAAATATTATTCTTTTATATAAGCATAAGCTTTATACGCGACTTTGTCCGCGTGACTGAGATATGTTTACTAACCAGGATAAAGCATACACATCTTTCTCTCCCCATGTAATACGTATATACAAATTTTTGTAGTAGTTGGTTAAGCCATTAAGAATAAAATAAAATAAAAAATATTTATTGACAGAAAAACACAATTACAATAGAAAATACAAAAAGTACATATATAAGAAGTGTGTCATATTAAGCAAAAGGAACTGGTTCAGCTAATGCTGTGAGTGTCTCAGTGCAATGTGTACAGCTGCACAGTGCTGGTTTTTAGCCAGTCCCTCTCTTAACAGCTCTAAAGGCGCTATAAGATTACAAACAAGGAAATTCACTTTCACATTTATCATATTAGTAAGGATGACGTGACCTCTGATGATACATGAGACGCAAGGGCATTTGACACATCACAATTTAAACCACCATACCTGTACCTATCCAATTGTTTCTTTTGAACAAGTGTACGAATCGTAAGTATTTGGTTATCATCTATATGTTATATTAATATGTGAAGCAAAAACTTTGAACCCCTTTTTACGAAAATTGCGCGGATTGCAGGAGTTTGACACACATGTAATTTATATAGAGCAGAATGCTAATTTTTTTTTAATTATGCATAAAAATACATTAAATCAATACAAAACAGTACACTCACCACCATGTATTTGACACACATACGCATATATACTTTTTTGTTGATTGTTAGGGTCTGTGGTCAAATTGAATATAGATTAATATTGTTTGTTTTTAATAATAATTGCCTATAGTCTTACTGATATATATATATATATATATATATATATATATATATATATATATATATATATATATATATATATATATATATATATATATATACACGACTATGTATGGGTAGATTTGTTACTTTTTGCGCAAAATCTACTGAATGAATTTGAATGGAATTTAGTAATCTAAACTAATATTGCAAAGAGGAAAGATGGGAGGATAATGGGTGAATTCAAAAACTCTTTAACTGACTTCAAAAACATTACAAGTAAGTAAGAATACTGCATTATAAGTAAGTAAGATGGCTTATATTGTATTCAGAAAAACTATATATATATATATATATATATATATATATATATATATATATATATATATATATATATATATATATATATATATATATATATATATATATATATATATATATATATTATATATACAGTGAGCTCGTTTGATAGATCATTTGCCAATCTAAGCTTTGAGACGAAATATAGTGTTGTACCAATTTTGTATTATAACACATTTTACATTCTGAGCCGCGGCATACAGTCAGTATTCTATAAAAGTGTATAAACTTCGTTTTTACACATTACATTTTATTAAAACCATATACTGGCAATATGAAAATTCGATACTAGGTATAACAAAAGAAAATTAATTAATTATATGCGAATGAGGTCAGCGTTTCACAAAAGGATGTTTGTTGTGTCGTAGCGTACTCGTACATCGCTCGAATCAGTTTAACAGCCCACACCCCGCGGCGCCGACGGACGTCAAAGAGAAAATTATAAGGGAAATAATTGAATTTCCGAAACGAAATTGAGTTAATGGCCCATTTATTTATTATAAATATTGAATTCCCTGGACCGTTGGAAAGTGTTGTGTTGATAATATTATATAATTGATATTGTTCTGATTTATACTGGGGACGTGGTAATTTTGCTGAGTTGCTGCCGGTAATTTGTGATTTTAGGGTTGTTTAGGTTGTAAAATGATTAAAGCGGAAATTTCATAGAGCCGTACCATAATGTTTCTGTATGTTTGTTTATCTGTTTTAGCCACATCAAAAAGGGGAGTTCTACATTTGCTCAGGTTATTGGCGTGAATTATTGTTATAGAATTGCATTATTTTTAACCTTCTGAAGTTCTGTAAAAATTCAAGTTTCTAAATAAAATTTATGGTTCATTAAACACACTAAACTTATAGTAAATAACGCGTGATCAAAACCTATAGGGTCTTTACAGTTGATTCAGCATCATTGAATTTGTCACAAAGGAAGCTTTTAATTATCATTTCTTTTTTAATCTATATCCGCTAACAATTTGTGACCTTTTTAAACCGATCGCAATATGTAATAAAAAGCCAGCGATACGCAAAGGCTGTGAGAATGCGAATTATCCCATAGTCTGTTCGGAAATTTTCATATCACATTGTTTTAGCAAACATATTAATCTCCCACAACACTTTCTACCCGGTTTGCTATTATGCATTACATTAAAACCTCATTTCGTGCCTTGAGAAATATTAATGGTAAGTCACTTTTATAGTGCTAAAATGTTAAAAGTAAATTTTGGCTTATTTTTTTTAAACTCAATATTATAGTATCGTGTTAATATTGTAAATGTGATGTTTGGATGTTTGTTTGTTAACATTTTGCTGATATTAAAAGTGATACCTACACCAGCTTAGTAAGTTCATAAATTGATTTGGATATTATCTATAATATTCTATAGTCTTCTTTACTTCATAACAAACTACAGTACCTATTTATACAATCATATTTGTGCTCAGGGAGCTTTTAAGAAAGGATGTTTTCGATTTATCTATATTTTTTTGTGTGTATGTAGGGAATTATGTCACTAATTCGAAACCTGTGGTCCAATCACAGACACAGAGAGAATTCACTTCCATATTGGCTTAATATTAATCTGGTGACGATTGGAGCTGCTATTTTATTTCGTAAAGAAAAATCGTATTCTTTGTTATGAAACAAACACTCGTTTAATTTGTTTTTAAAAATAAAATATCTAGTCAATATTATTTTTGTTTGAATGATCGCAGTTTTTATATAGAAAAAAAAAAAACACCTTACATTATTTAATTCATTGTTCGTGCCGATTTTGGGCTGTATAGATCCATGGCACTGCGACCTTGTGACATTGTGCCCGCCCAGTTTTTAGAGGTCGCTATTGATTCTTGTCAGGGACAGGAATTTTAGGACATTTTAGGGGCGATAGTTTTTATCACCAAAATAGATAGATTTTTTGAATTATATAGAAGATGAGTTTTGAAGTATAGTAGATATTAGTATATAAAAATATGTTACGAAGTGGATATTTCATTTGTGTGTGTACATGAGTAGTGTACAAATGAAATAATTCCTGGCCTGTTCTAACTCATACCAAACTCGTGTCACAGTGTTAAAATGTGTGAACTGAACAGTAAAGCTGTCTAAACATATTTTTATACGGCTGTGTGGGACACATTGTACAGTTTATTACATTTCGACCCGACCCTGACGCGTGCAATGTTGGTGTTTTCATAAAATTTTTACGTTTATAACCTAGTCCCGGCCCGTGGAAAGTGCTATGACAACAAATAGCATTTTTAATATGACTTAATGTTTATTTTCGTTAGTCACGACACGCCGTTCCATGATAAACTTGTAAAAGGCTGCGAGTTATAAAAGGATGGGAGGGGTCGCAACTTCTTTCCCCAATTAAGAGGGTACTCTATATAATCTGTAGGTATAGAACAGAGATGAATGGACCTTATTTCTTAAGGACTTATTACACTATAAACTGTAGAGGATAATAGGTAAATTTTATTATCATGAGGTGTGACAGATATGTATATACATATATATTATAAGTACAGTCATAGAGAAAGTATTTTATTTATCCATAATGCAGTGAAGCAAATCGCGACAAAACGGAATCTCTGATAGGTTATTCTTAAGCTATACAAGACATTGTAAACTTTTTGATATTATAATAAAGATTATGTCTACTAAACCGAATTTGATAAAATTTCTATTGAATCAATCTGTACGTATATTCTTTTAGATAAAAAAAAGAACCGAATTGAAAATCTTCTACTTTTTGAAGTCGGTTATAAGGTCCTTCAATAGCTTTATAAATTTACAGATTTATTTTGTATATATATATACTGTAATGAGTCACTGATGTTACAAAAATGTGAAAGTTTATCGAGATATTTAGATGTTTGTGACTTAGTCGTTAAATAGTTCAATGGGTTCGATAATTTTTTTGATACACAGTTTTATTCTAGATTATCATATTGAATACTTTCTATTGTTTCTGCCTACCCTAATGGGAGACAGGCGTGACAGATATATATGTATGTATGTATGTATGTACTTTCTATCGTAATTCACACATCAGGTTTTAAACGGTTGTGATATTTGGCATGTTATATGATTCTCACATTGTAATAATCGTAACTTTGTAAATAGCATAAATCTTTGAATAGATTCCATTGTAAATAATATGCATTAATAACAATGTTACATTGTTATCAAACAGACAAAGAATATTGTAGTAAAATTCTAAGAATGATTTAATGGCACGATTTTAATATTGCACTTTAAACCATACAAAATAGATTAATCTTGTTTATCTTATCAACTTTTAGGACTATTTTTTAATTAGACCTATACAATAATAATACCCATGTAGACACTAGGGGGAAAGGGATTGTTAGTAATGGAGACTGAGGATCCCATTGCTAGCAATATACCCAACCAGGGCGACTTCCTCGCGGTTCACTCTGGAAACTATCATGGTTAATTCCTGATGAATTCATCATGATGGGCTAACTGGCCTGTTTTCATTCCCATCTATCACCCTTCACTGGTGCTTCGCCAGCGTATTCCGTTAGCGCAGGCGGGGTTACCATATCATTTTCACCTATCAAACAAAAAAACCATGTAGATCCTGAACAATTTTTGACTGAGTAATTTTTAATGGAAGAGGCAAAGTTGAGCGTTTTCCATGTGATTTAAAAATATGTACTTCTTTAAACAAATGTCATTGTAAATTCCTGTTTCAGCAGATACTTAAATAGTGTCTTTCTCCAATTTACAAGGAAACAATAAAATAATCAAAGAAACATAAAACCTTAATACATATTAAAAGTTACATTGCAGTTTGTAAAGTTAGACACTTAAAAGTTAGACAACGACAATTGAACAGCCTCGACAACTGTCCATCAATTTTAATTATTATCGCGTTTGAAAATAAATGTAATATATAATTATTTAGAAATTTCAATATTTTCAATATCAATTAAATTTGGGAGTTGTTAGTGTTATTTCGTAAAGGTACCGAAAACAGTCGATTCACGTATTATTTTTGTTTAATAATGAAGTAGCTTCCGAGAAAATGGAAGAACAATATTTATTACATAATACGGATACAAGCCTCATTTTATTAACCATTAAAAGCCACTTACGTATGTACTTAGCCCGGCGAGGGGCACTCCGTTAGCTGAGAGGAGAAGATCTCTCGGTGCGAGGCGGCCGGTCCTCCACGCTGGCTGTGGGGGGTACAGCCTTCGTATTTTCACCAGGCCCCCACCCCCGCATACGGACATCCCCAGTCCTCGTCCGTCCTTCTCCACCACCACGGTAAATGTATTCTCTGTAGAATAAAATATTATTCATTAGTCACATAGATTAAATTAACTGTAAAACGAAGTAGGTACTTGAAGATTATTTTTGGAAAAGGCTTACGTTACATTTCGGTATTACAGACAGAAGATAGCTATCATCATGTATAATTTTTTTTAGTTATTTCTATAAGGTTTCTCTAAAAATCTATAATAAAGTGCTATTGTCGTTCTATTAGTAAAACACATAGTTTTTCCCACAAAAACATGGGTCGAAAATTTTACATGATAATTAATTAATTTAGTTACTTTAAATTAGGTGTAATTTCGAATTGTATATTATAATAATTAGTTACTAATTAATGCTTCAATATAAATATCACAATAATCATGTTGTTAATTTTGAATATAAGCGATTCGGATGAAATCACGAATTTAGTGTTCGCGTTATTAACGATGAAACGAGCTTATTTACGTTCGTTACGCTAAATGGTCGGTATTACTGGTAGACTACTCTGTAAAGAAAATGTCAATGATTTTGTTTTCAACTATATCTGTAGAATGACAAGTGAATAAAGGTAAAAAACAAACATACAGTGCCAAAATATTCAATGTATAATAATAATTTAACTGATTGTCTTGGGCGACAATTCTTTTCAAAAAGATATTTCACAGAATTCAATCGTCATAATCAAAATAAACAAGTAAAACATTTCCAATGCATTCCCTATAATTCTTCCGTCGTTCTGAATGAAAAATCTCTTAATGCAAGCTTCCTTTGTGTAGATTCCATTGTGACAAATAAGGAAGGCGAGAATCCTATCATGGCGATAAAATACAATGTAGCATTGCGACTATTTGAAAGCCAGTTTCATGCCAATTCGGCTTTGTTGTTCTTATTGCCAATAAATGCATGAAAGGAACGTGATGAGATTTATTCAACATATCTGAGTATTAATATGTCCCTGGAGCGTATAAGCGTATGGAAACTGTGTGGGAAATACAGTTTATTAATTTGTTTTAGTTATAAAAAACTCTTTTATTCTGTTCTTTGCACCAAAATATTTGTATATAACATGGCACAAATATAATATCTTTTGAGACATATTTTAGATTAGTTTTATTGGGTATATTATATTATAATATAATGTGGATGGAAACGTGATGTTTCGTTAAATATGACTATTTATTATGAAATAAAAATATGGAGATATATATATATATATATATATATATATATATATATATATATATATATATATATATATATATATATATATAATCATTGACAGACGTTCCAGATTTTGGTGGAACGTTTCGAAAGTTCCGCTTTTTGAATAAAAAAAAAAAAGATAATTTTAAGAGGAAACTTTTAAAAAGTTAAATCTTCACAAAAATATGAATAAATATTTTGTCAATAATGTGTTATTTATTTATATCACATAACTTATATTCCTACTAACTGCCATACTACAGGATAAACCAGACAGTTTTTAGTAGAGTAACGTATTTTTATTAAAATTTACATACCTACCTATAAGTATATAATGTTTGCCATTGCCATATACATATGTAGCCACAGTATGCTCTAGACTTGCTTTAAATAGTTTAAAATGCGCAACTCTGCATTCGAACTTGCAATATTAGGTTGAATTTAAGCTACCGGCACCTCGATTCAACAAGATTCGATTCCACATCTCTCGCTGAGTGCCAAAGGCTGAGTATGTTCCTACATATGACACCGTGGTAATATTATCAGATAATAAATTGCGGTACCACATTTTTAAACTTCATTAACGCTGATGTAGGCGCCATCTGCCGGCGCTATTAACTAATTACCAGCTTGTCCTCCAACATCGCAGCAATGCATAATTTTTTATTAGACGTGGTAATTTTTTTAAAATATTTACATTTTTTTTTAAAGATTGTTACGTTTTTTTTAATAACACTTTATATAACACTAGTTTTTAAGGGAGAATTAACCGCGTAACCAGGATATGGTTACTATTCGGCTATTTGGGATAAAAAGTAGTTAATATCCTTCTCTATTCCATATAGTACATGCATACCAAATTTCATAGTAATTGGTGAAGCTGTTAAGACGTTATAATGTAATAAACAAACTCACTTTTATAATATTAGTAAGAATTTTATCAAGCATTCGATTTGACCATAATGACGATTTTTTATATATTAAATTAGGTTAAAATGATGATGATGGCGAGTAACTGTTTTAGATATAAAACGTCTTCTTAAAGAGCTAAATTAACAATTTTTTTATATCACTGAGATGGTAAACAAGCATACGGCCCATCTGATGGTAAGCGGTTACTGTATCTTCTACACGCCTATAATACCAGGGGCATTATGCTTGTGTTGGCGACCCTGAAGAAATCTATTTACCCATTTTTTTGAAGAAGCACATTCTGTAATCTCTTGGAAAAACCTCGTCAGGAAGCTTATTTTATAATATGGGCGTTCATTGGAGCAAACATTTCTGAAACCGCGCTGAAATTTATATTTTTATTTCAAAAATCTGTAAATACAAGGACATTAGACCCACTCGTACTTGACCTTTGATTGTGTAGGTGTGTAACATTACTGTAAAGGGATAGAACAGATAATAGAAACAGCTACAAGAGTCCTCTACTGAGGACACTAAGTCTTACTAGGGATTCTGTTTAAGTGCGGAATCTTAAAAGGTTGTAACATTAGCAATAAACTGGTAAAACGAATTTCGAGACGGCCGTAAGGCTGTAACTGTTTTACAGCTTATTTACACTAGAGAGATGACACGGAGTCCGAGATAAGTCTGACCGTCGTGACCTACTTTCAGGTTTGCATAAATATTTTGCGATTAGATTAGGGGATGGTACCGTTATTGTAGGTTGGCAGTCACAATGCTTAATATCAAATACTTAATCTTTATTCTATTTGTAATTCTGACTAATATTTTAAATGTGTAAGTGAATTTGTTTGTTACCTTTTGATGCTTGAATTACTTCACCATACCATACACATACAAATCCCTCAGATCGATACAAACACCCTCGTTCTGGCCATGAAGCAGATGTCTTTGCACAGCTGTGTTTCAGTTTCAAAGTTTGAAGGGTAGGATGCAGTAAAATTACAGGGTGCGGAGTTATGTATATATATAACAATATATTTGTATGTGTATGGTATGGTAGAGTAAATACATAACAGTACTCCTCATACATTGGCCGTACCGTGAGCAGTAGACAATGTACTCGTATTCCATAATGCCTCCATCCCATAAAGATGTTATGTTCTATACGTATTCTCTCTCATTTTTTTATCAGCTCGTTTGTCATTCTAAGTATTAGAAAAAAAAACAGATAACTCATGAATATAAGTATTTGTATTGTACCGGGATTGATCCCGCAATTATCGGAAAGCGAGTCAATAATGTACTTATCACATTTATTAGATTAATATAACCACAATATCAAAAGAAATGAATCTGCTATATATCACAAAATATATGTTCGTTGCTTGAAAAACAAGGTGGAAAATTAGATGAATAATATAAATGTACATTCGTGCCCGGTGTAAATTATTTATTAATCTATGAAATACATTTCTTATTTAAATTTTCGAAGAAGTCACGCGACAATCTTTGTGATGTTATCATAACGAAATATATTACGAAGTTTGTAGCTATTGCTCAACAAACTTAATGGTTTAATGTGAATTTCCATCCTTACTAAGAATCCTTTGTTCTTTATTAATATTATAAATGTGAAAATGTGTACATATATGTTACTTATTAGCGCTGATGACAATTAGTCAAACCGTCAAGGCTTGACCAATTGTCATGAAATTTGGCATAAACGTAGTACTATAAACAGTAGGTAACTATATTCTCCTCCATCCCAAATAGTACCTAAGTGTATAAAAGTAAAAAAAAATATGTACATTCGAGTACTAATGAACATATTAAAATATCTAACTTATACTCGTACTTTTGTGTCTTAAAACAAACAGATGAGCAATCAAAGAGACGTTAAGTAATTGAATAAAATCTCCTTTCTGTAATTTCGGAGCACATTATTCGCGCGTTTCGTCGCCATTTTCTATTATGGCATTTAATGAAATTATACAGAAAATTTGACAAAGAGCAACAAATATGCGTGACTGAGTTTAACTTTGGGTAAATAAAATTTAAAAAAAATTCTAAATATGCTATTAAGATACTCACACACAAATTCTCAGCTTAAAGAGCCAGGAAAAGTGGGTCCGATTTTTTTTTAATCGAAGTCTCAGTAGGTTCAATTTTAAAGCTAACGTGTCTATACAATTTTTTTTAATGAATGATAATGGAACAGTAACATGGCCTGATGGCTTGTGCTATTGCTGTAAGTTGGCAGGGCAGTAGTGAAGGATTATAGGTGACTATAAAAGCAGGTCAGTTGGCTTATTGTGATGAATTAATCAGGAATTAATTTCGTTGGTTTCCCGGGGGGAGGGGGAGGGGGGCATAAAGGTTAACTTGAGAGTATATCGCTGGTAGTGGGTTTTTTTATGGGTGATAATGGAATGGTAATCCCACCCGCGCTATCGGCATATATATATATATACACTGGCGGGGCACCAGTGAAAGATGATAGGTGAGGATGAAGCAGGCCAGTTAGCCCATCGTGACGAATTCAACAAGAATTGTTCACGATGGTTTCCAGGGGAAACCACGTGGAGGTCGACCTGATAGGGCATATTACTAGCAATGGGGCTGTTAAACTCCATTGCTAACAACCCCTTTCCCCCCTGGCAGTGGGGTTAATCTCCGTTTCTAACTTTCCCTTCCCCCTGTCTCTATATCATTGCATACAGACATTTTACTGTCTTATTATAAATACTTTTACTACGTGATGTACGATTTTATCGTGACGATAAAATTGTACGAATTCGTGCCGTATTATGGCCAATTATAAAATCGTTGATTAGGACGCCAAAACTAATAAATAATAAAGGGACTGAGATCCCTAGGTATTTGGCACAGGGATAAAGTTATTTT